AATTTAAATGTAAAATTAAAGGCAGTTGGTGTCTGCCAGGGCTGATCCCCACTCTGGTACTCCAAGTGCAGAAGGTGGGAGCACGCAAGAGACCGTAAATACCTTGCCTCTCTAGCCTCTGCTTACAAAACTTCCCAGAGTCACAGATTCACTGATTTTTGGGGGTTGCTGCCACCACCAAGTGAAAAAAGGAAAACCTCTTTCTTCTTGAACCCAGGAGGGAACACTTGGACTTCTTCCAGAGGGGTACCCCCAAGCTGCTTTACCACAAGAGAGCTTAAAAAACCCAGAGATAAAACAAAACATCAGTCTTTGGTATCTGACCTCTTAGTCTCATGCATGCATAACACAGACAGACACAAGAATGAATTCGCTGCCTTAAAAAAGGGGATTTTATTAACAAAACAAACAGCTATCCTCGATAAAGCTTACTTGGTTGCTAGGTGTTACAGAGCAACTGAGTAAAACAAATTAAAATGCAGAGAACATCTCTGGGTTTGCTCTTAGATAGTGAATGGGGGAGGGAAGGCACAGAGTCACACAGAGGAGTTTAACCAATCAGGCAAACCAAAGAAAAATGCCCTGATCAGGACTAAATTCACCTTTTCCCTCTACTCACGATCCGTGCTGCTCCGTACTTCAATGCCCAGTTCACTGCCATGTCCACTATTTCCTATAGGCATGGTCATTCTGATTACTGCATCTGCTCCCTCCCGCCCTTCACACAAAGGAAGAGCAGACAAGAAGTATCTGTATCTTAATTCAGATTTCAGCGCTGTATCCTATTGGTTCTTCTGGCCTTCTGCCCACACTTGTGCTAGGTACCTGAGTTTAACCCTTTAGTCACCAAGTGCTGGCCAGCACTCCTCCTATCCATCACAGTGTCCAAAGCCCTTAAGTAGCGTTGACAAACTCAGCCTTATTTTCAAATATTCATCGGTACATAGGAGCAAGAGGTTTTCCTGTTTTATCTTCCTATCAGTCCCTCTCTGAGATTGTGGCTCTCCTGTCAGCCAGTAGCATGTACCTCTGTACTACCACATGGAGACAGACACCCCTCTCCCTTGGCCTGGGGAGGTTGTTTTGGTGGCTCACCCCTAAAGCCTGCCCTAGAGCCCACCTGTCGTGGCTGTTGGGAGGCCAGGGGGAGTGGTCTTCCCCTGCCTCCCCCCATCCAGGCAGGTGAAGGATCCAGGGCTCCCACAGCGACCCAGGCTCCCTGGACAGCTCTTACCATGGCCCAGCTCCTGCTTCTAACCTGGCCAGGCCCCCACAAGCCCATACACTAATCTGGCACTGGATGTGCTGCTGCATTGGGTTGACAGAGCAGCCTGGAGCCATGGGAGGGAAAGGTCAGTTGGCTCAGAGTGTGTGGAATTGGGGCTGCATTGAATGTGGAGCTGGTATTACAGCAGGATGGAAACCTTAACATAGGTCCTCCGGGAAAGCTTTTCTGCTTTCAGGTTACTTTCCCACTGCTCGTGCAGTTTTACACCGAGGCCCCGTTGGCTGCTGTGCTCTGTGCTGGTCTGTCTGGAGTGGTATTTCTGTGGGAAAGAGGAGCGGCTCTGCAGCTGTTTTTTAACTCATGTTAGGGAAACATGTAGCGAGAGCTGGCTAGAAAATCATTAATCACTTGGGCTCCCACAGCCTTCAAGAGTGCACTGCTGGGGCTGAGCTGTAAGCCCAGCTGCCTGCTGTGTTTGCTTTGTTAGCCACAGGCAGCTGGAGGGGGTGGGGGGCTACAACAGTTAGAAGCAGTCAGTGAAAGCGAGGAGGGTCAGTCACCTTTACAGTTCTGTATGACTGACCCTGCTACTGGGAACTAGGAGCATGCAGGAGAGGCAGTCTTTGCAGGCGGGCTCTGCTTGGATCACATAAACATCTACCAAGTGATGAGCTGACTATGCAGTTTGAGTGCACTTGGTTGGTGGGCCTGTGTACCAAGCTTGGTTGGTGGGCCTGTGTACCAAGCTTAACACTACTGTTATTCACAGCTATAAGGTAAAAGGGGGCAAGTATTGTGCTAGAGGATACAGAAGATGGCTCAACATTCGGCTCCCTGGGGCCCACATTTAGAATTTTTGCATAGCATGAAGCTTTAGAGAACTCTAAGGCGTTTGAGACTCTCTTGTACAGTGGTCCCCAACGTTTCGTGGCTGCCGAGCGCCAGGGGCGGGGCCAGCCCAGATGTTTTGGTGGGCGCACATAAATGCCCCAGCAGGCACCATGGCACCCACGGGCACCTCGTTGGAGACCACAGCTCTTGTATATTCATTTCAGTGTCCGGTCTGTTCCCCTAGAGAAAAATGGGAATGAAGGTTGAGAGTATATCACAGTAACCTAAAGTAATTGTCACAAGGATATTGTAATTCTCCCAAAGTCCAGGAGTTAAGATGATGTTTAAAAGAAATCCAAGGCAGTTAAGCTAAGAACTACACAATTTAGGGAAATCTTTAATTGTAGCCCGCAGTGATCTCATGGAATAACCATGCAGTTATGACTGAGGCATTGATTGATCTGATTCAGCCTTAGTGCTTTCACATGTCTCTTTCTTCTCAGGGTGTCATGGCACTCTGACTGGCATCTCTGCAAAAAGGTGTCTTGAAAGCCAGGTGTGGAGAAGGTGGGAAATACCTGTATTTATGGACAAATAGCTGTGACTCAGTTTCCCACCTCACTTGGGTTAATTTCTTTCCTGGGACAGTCACATAAGCAGTCCTTACCTTTGACGCTGGTGTGGATCAATGTTCAAGACTCATCAGTATCTTCATGGCAAGTGTAGCTCTTGGAGATACAGTGGAAGACGGTGACTAGATATTAACTTCTAATGAGTGGTGGTGATCAGCAAAACTGCAATTTGAAACCGAGAAACAGGTATCTGCTCACTGTACTGAGAACCTGGCTGCCAAGTGCCACCTAGCCCCAGTTGAGTACTGGATGCTCTGGGCTACATGCAGGGTGTACTGCTCACATAGATATCTGTGTAAGCTCTGCTTTTCTATTTGAATCTAGAGATCCTACCCTAGTGCGTTCGGGTGACTAATAACCGCTGGCTTGTTTTCAGACAGATGCTCTGGGTTGCTGCAAAACTTCTGCTGCTTGTGTGGGTCCCAAAGAGTCACCAATGAGAGCATAGAAACTTTTGACCCCACAGGAAGAACCACAGCAGGAAATGGAGTCTCTCCATAGGGCTCTCCTGGGTCCATAGACAGGAGTTGAATGTGAAAGAAAAGTGCAGGTTATGGAGCTGATGACACTACCAAGCAATAGGCAGAGCCTTGTGGTGAGACAAAATTTGCATCCACATCCGTATCCAAAATGAGCTGGGGCTGTCCACATCCATTTCTGCTTTTGAAATGTACAAGAACCCTGCCAGGGCGGGAGCTCCTGGGGAGCCTGGGTCCATAGACAGGAGTTGAATGTGAAAGAAAAGTGCAGGTTATGGAGCTGATGACACTACCAAGCAATAGGCAGAGCCTTGTGGTGAGACAAAATTTGCATCCACATCCGTATCCAAAATGAGCTGGGGCTGTCCACATCCATTTCTGCTTTTGAAATGTACAAGAACCCTGCCAGGGCGGGAGCTCCTGGGGAGCCTGGAGCTTCCCGCAAACAGAGGCTGCTTTGGTATCTCGCAGTAGGGATGTTAAATTGTGAGTAATTTAACTGTGAGTAAAGCAGATATCCACAAATTTTCAGGGCTCTGTGTACAAAATTTGAATCTGAATCTGCAAAAATGAGCCACAGATATCTGCATCTGTCTGTGGGTACCTGCGGCTATAAAGCGGATATTCACTGATTTGCAAGACTTTAGCAATAGAAGAGGCAGTGCAAGTAAAGATAGAACCTCTGTAGTCTGGCACCCTGAGGACCTGACCAGCGTCCCTCTAAGCTGCGCGGCAGCACACCTTAATCAGCCCTGCCCAATCAGAGGCTCAGGGCTCAGTGCATAGAGCTGTCTGACTGGGCAGGGCTGATGAATCACCTGTGAAGCTGAGCTGCCACACACCTTAGAGCAGTGGTCCCCAATCTTTTTAAGCATGAGATCACTTTTTGAATTTAAGCACAATCCAGGATCTACCACAAACCCAAATACCCTGGCCCCGTCTTCTTCCCACCCCCTCTCTGAGGCCCTGCCCCTGCTCACTCCGTCCTCCCTCCCCCATCCTCACTCACTTTTATCAGGCTGGGGGCAAGGGTTTGGGGTGCAGGAGGGGTTCAGGACTGGGGGCAGGGTTTGGAATGCGAGCTACAGCTGGGCACTGCTTACCACAGGGGGCTAAGGCAGGCTCACCCCTATCTTGACCATGCACCACTCCCAAAGCAGCCAGCAAACTCTCTCCATCCCTGCCCCCCTCTGTTCTTTGGAGATGGGTACAGGGTGGAGGGAGGGACACGCTGACATCAGCACTCCCCCTTGTGCTTGTGACCTGTACAGCAAGCAGGAGGCTCCCAGGGGTGAGGGGCACCTCCAAGGCAGAGGGCAGGAGCAGCACGGCAGTGCTGAGAGGGGAAGTTTAAGTGCCAGCACTTGATAGCCTCCTGGCCAAACCTCTCAGGATCACCTGTCAGAGGTTCCAAGATCTACCAGTAGATCCCGATCTACTGGTTGGTGACCACTGCCTTAGAGGGAACACCGGTCCTGAGCCATGCCGAATTAGAGAATTTGCCATACGACGGGAGGTCAGTATTATCTAGCACCATTACCAACACTTCCACTGCTTACTGGGCTCTTAGAAGACATTTAGGGCTAAATTGGAGCTAAATAACAGCACAAAACACTGAGCCAGAACTGGTGGCTGTAAACACACTTTATAGGACCACTGGACACTTGACCACACCCATGAAAAGTGGACATTTGACTTAACTCAGATCATGCCAGACCACGGATGTTGCCAAAGCAGAGATTGCTGGATTAGAGAGCTTCAGCCTGTACTTATTCTTCCAGTCCCAGAATACATTCACCTAGAGCCTGTCCTCTTTTTTCCCATTAACAGCATTGAAGGAGAGTACGTTCCAGTGGCTGGCGATGAAGTCACCTACAAGATGTGCACTATCCCACCTAAGAATGAGAAGCTGCAGGCTGTAGACGTCATCATTACTCATCTAGCACCTGGAACAAAACATGAGACCTGGTCAGGCCATGTTCTCAGTTCCTAAGGTATCCAGCATGATGCTGTACCATTGAACACACTGCGCAACTGACTTTCACGTTGACAAATGACTATTTTATATATTGAGCGGGTAAGGTTGGCATTGGCCAAATTACCATTTTTACAATAGGCATGATACTTAAAAACAGTATACAAACTCTAAGGGAAAAAATAGCGTAAGGAAGTTTCCACAAGTTTATTTATTAAAAAGAGAAAGAAAAACTAGCCGGGCTTGTCTGCTTTTGTGACCTGAAGGATAGTAGATGCCCAAAGATGTTAGGAACTTGAAAACAGGTCAGCATGATAGCTGTTCTATCAAAAAGGCAGCACTGAGGAACTCCACTTCGAGGCCCAGTATCTACCTGTAACATATTGCTCCCTTGAGCTAAATTGCTGTAAATGTGCAGACTGCTCAGGCTTACTGCTAGCAAGGTTCTCAGTAAATGTACTTGAGACAGCAAGTTTCCTTGCTTCAATTTGTTTTCTTCACAAGCTAAATAACAAGCACACTCAAGAAAGGTGTAATCTAACTGTTATCAGTTTTGACAGCACCTTCTTAGTAACTGTCAGGTGGAAGGGTTGGAAATTAGCTATGTGCAGGAGTGTGGAATTGTTAGCTTTATGAAATGTGGGTTGTTTATGAATTTACTTTGTGTGCCTTGATGGGTGATTAGCAACAGATTTACAGGGCAGTAGTTACAAAAGTAGGTTGCTTCACTCTAAGCAGTAGCAAAGCAGCAGAGGTGGGAGTGGTTCACAGCCTCTGATGGTGCCTGAATTTAATGAAATCTTTACGCTGCCTTGATTTTTTTCATATATGCATGCTTGAGAAAGTAGTTCGTAACTGCCATAGTTCATTAGCATTTATACATTCACTTTGCTTGTTCTGCCATGGTCAGATCACTGTATATAAAATGTTGTGCAAGTTAGTTCGTTAGCTTGAGTTATAAAGCCTTATAGTGAATGCTTGCAGTCATGTTTTCCTGCAACACTTGCTCTGCATTGAATATTGCTACCACTACCACCTAGAATCTCTGCTTCTGTCTCTGTAGGCTTTCAGGCAAACTACTGTAACTATATTCATTTCTGCACCAGCTCTGATACTGCTTGTCCTTCCTAAGTTTTCCAAATGAAGAGTTGTCCCCCCCCAGTTGGAGTGACACTTGCATCTCTTAGCTACATGGAATTTGCCTGTTCCCTAAAGCAGTACTTGAGCTGATGTGGAAAGCATAATGACGCTATTTCACAGAAAAAGGTGAAATGTCCCAACCAATTCTAATCTTCCGTGATTACAGGAACAGAAATGTGAAGGTTAATAATTACTGTGATTTTTTGTTTTACTTTTAATTATTGTACTAAATCACTTGTAAATGTAAAACCTCTATTATGGGTTTAGTAAGCTGTAGTTTATTAATATTCCCTGCTTCCTTTACAATAAAAATGTATTTAATAACTGTTGTTTGATATCTTCAGCATGCACACTCACTACCTAGTCTGTATTTAACATTAGTATGAATTAAAAGTAGAGGATATGGATGGGTGTGGGCCTGGGGCGGGTGAAGTTGTTTGCAAATATCACTTCTGTGCAATATCAGATTATTTGTTAGAAAATGAGTGACTTTACAGTTTCCCAGCTGGTAAGAACATTAGTTAATTCTAGCAGTTGTGTAAGTTGACTGATCTGTGTTGTCTTTTATAGAAGACATTAGGTTTTAAGTAAACTCTGTTTTTTTAAATCCAGGTGTTTATTTGATAATCACAAAGCTTGTTTATTTTGAGCAGTGTAATCATGACCAATGAGACTTTTTCAGCCTGCAAGTCTAATGGGATGCACCCATCTCCCCATGCCTCACCCTCCTCCCAGCTCCAACTACACAGAATCAGCAGTAGGGGTCAGAAGAAAACTTATCACTAAGGTAGGTGTAACACCTTTAAGATCCAGCACACAAAAACACGTATAATCAGCTTGTGTTTGTGGCATCGCCACATTGGTGATTATAAACCTGCTGCTTGCTACCTTTTTGGAACAGTGTATGTGAATTTCAGCCCTGTGTAGAGGTCAGGATATCCTGCTGGTCCTTTACTGGCTCTCTGCCCAGCCCTTTGACAGCATGTGAATGGTTACAGTTGTACCATTTTAAAGGATCAGTATCAATAGCCTACATTACTCTGAATGAACTGTCAGTTTTAAGAAAGTGGTATAACTAGTTTCTTATTTTGGATGTCCAGCAGCACAAATTCACCCTGCTGTGAACACAGATGTCAGTGTTTGCAAGAGAGAACTGGTCCAGTTGTTAGATAGTAGGTCACTTTTTAAACAGTTCTAGAACAGCTTGGCAATGAATTGTGCCCTACTAATAAAATATTATCTGTGCCTGATGAGTGAAGTTAACTGTTTGTGACCACAGGAGCTGTGGGGTCCTAATGAACCAAAGTTCATCTTTTATTGCATTAGATCAGATTTCCTCTAATCTTTGTTCAGGTTTGCATTCCTGTCCCAGGATTTCCTGTACTAGTTCCAATGGGAAGGAAAGGTTTTGAAAACTCTGGCACCTCTAGAATTCTGCAGGGACTTGCCAAAGTCTGGAGCCAGCTATGAGGAAACCAGGGGCTCTCTTGTTCCACCTCCTATGCAAGTCTTAGAAGAGAAGGGGAAGGTTATTCAGAACAAGAACTCACTTCATACTTAAGATCAGTATAAATTTACTGTGAAATCCCTGCAAGTCTAATGGGATGCACCCATCTCCCCATGCCTCACCCTCCTCCCAGCTCCAACTACACAGAATCAGCAGTAGGGGTCAGAAGAAAACTATGCCACAGAGGTCTGGTGTCTTCAGGTACTTTGCATTCATGGTTTGTAATTTATTTCATCAGAAGATGAAGTTGTGAGGGAATTTCTCCGCAATCATGGAAGGATCGCTGCAGTTTTTCTGTCAGGTGTCTATTGTAATGGATCTGCATCCCTTTGCATGAGGAACAACACTTGTACCATACACTCAGGGCTTGCCTCGACTACAGCTGGGATTGATGCTGTAGCTACCAAATCCACCAGGGGTCAATTTAGCAGGTCTAGTGAAGACTTACACATTGACTACACATGAGATGAATAAGGGGAGTTCACAGGAGCTTCTCCTGTCAATGGAATGTGGTGTGAACCCTGCAGTCAGTAGATCTAAGCTACATTGACTTGAATTATATTCATAGTGTAACTCAAATTGTGTAACTCAGATTGACTTTTCAATGTAGCATTGAGCTGCCCTTAGAGAGGGAATCCACCATCTGTTTCCTTCCCCCCCATAGCAGCTGCCCCAAGTAAGCACCCCACATATAAAGCCTCTGGTCCCAGCCTAGAGCCCCCTCCATCATCCTCCTGGACCCCACATCAAAATCCTGAGCCTACTCCTGCACCCTAACTCCTGGCCAGACCCCACACCTCTACCCCAACTTCCTGCTCTAAGCCCACTCCCAAATTCCAAACCCATTGGTACCTGCCTGGAACCCCCTTGTGCACCATAAACAACTGTTCTCCAGCTCCATCCCATAGCCTGCACCTGCAGCCAGAGCCCTCATTCCCCCACACCCGAGCCCCCTCCCACATTCCAAATCCCTCAGCTCCTCCCCCACCACAGCTCATCCGCAGAATGAATTTTATGTGCACATCATCTCCCTATTGGTGCACATATCAACATTCATTCTGCACATGGACATAGAAATTAGAGGGAGCACTGACTGCAAACATCCCTAGTCTGCTATTGGCTGGCTTGTTCTCTGCCTCAAAATTTCTCAGTCAGAAAATTCAATAGCTAATGATCTGCCAGAAGCTTAACTTTCAAAGGGACCATCACACCTTCATGGGTGCCCAGAAGGCAAGGGGTGGCACAGAATGGAGCACTTGATGCTTTCCTGTGGCTGGCATTGGCCACTGTTGGAAGGCAAGATACCAGGCTAGATGAACTTGTAGTCTGACTCTATAGCTGATTTGCAAGCCACTTTCAATGCCTGAGAACTTTGCCAGAATTGGTACCTGACCAGCCTCCCCGCACACAGAGCAAAGCTTGGCACAGAGGGCAGGGTCCAAACAGGAAATAATATAAAAGCACTCCTCAGAGTGGAGTGCTATAAAATAAGGGCAGGATCTTCTGCTTACATAGTAATCGGCTAGCAATTTGTCTGAAATGTTTCATAAGTCAGAATCTCTGGTTGCCCCACTGGAGGATACAAGCACATGCTCTCAGCTGCCTGTTTGCCACCTTTATTAACAGTTGAGTCTTGGTTTTCCCTTTATTTAGTTATTCAGATTTTATTTCAGCCCAGTTGTTGTTTGCTATTTGTCCATTAGCAGAAGACCCTCTGGTTTAATCCCTGCCAAAGTTGTCCATTGGTAGGAGAAAAACACCTCAGCTGTGTCTACATATTAGCATCCTTTTTCCAGAAAAAGGATGCTAATGAGACAAGTCAGAATTGCAAATGCTGCAGGGGATTTAAATATTCCCCGCGGCATTTGCATGAACATGGCTGCCGCTTTTTCCCGGCTTGGGGCTTTGCCAGAGAAAAGCGCCAGTCTAGACGGGATCTTTCGGAAAATAAAACCTTTTCCAGAAGAGCCCTTATTCCCCTTAAAATCAGGAATAAGGGCTCTTCCGGAAAAGGCTTTATTTTCCGAAAGATCCCGTGTAGACTGGCGCTTATCTCTGGCAAAGCCCCGAGCCGGGAAAAAGCGGCAGCCATGTCCATGCAAATGCCGCGGGGAATATTTAAATCCCCTGCAGCATTTGCAATTCTGACTTATTAGCATTCCTTTTCCAGAAAAGGGTGCCAATGTAGACACAGCCCTTGAGCATTTCAATAACCTCATTGGCTTTACCATATCCCATCAAAGCATAGGGCCATACAGGCTTTAAAAGCAGGTCTCAGACAGCTGTCTCAAGCACCTGCTAATGGAATGTTCACTAGTCCCAACAATATCATCAAGATGGCTGTCCTTGCAGGTGCTCCAATACCCACCCTCTGCTTTGGAACATCCTTGATTGTCTACTGCAGAGAAGGAACCAGAGGTAGTTGGCTTCCTAGTCACAGCACTAAGCTTTGCATAGCTATTTGATGAAAGAAATTAGACTAAGGCTGAACTAACCACACCTGTGGGGCATCGTAGCAAATTGACTATTTTAGTGGCATCAGGTATGCCACTGTTAGCTGTTCTTTCTGGAAACTGTTTGGCTACATCTACACTGGCATGTTTTCCGTTAAAAGCATTTTCGGAAAAGCACGTCTAGATTGGCAGGATGCTTTTTGCGGAAAAGCGTCCGTGGCCAATCTAGATGCTGTTTTCCACAAAAAAGCCCCGATCGCCATTTTCGCAATCGGGGCTTTTTTGCAGAAAACACTACTGTGCTGTTTACACTGGCCCTTTTGCGCATAAGTCTTTCAGAAAAAGACTTTTGCCCAAACGTGAGCAGCATAGTATTTCCGGAAAATCACTGACGATCTTACATGAGATCGTCAGTGCTTTTCTGGAAATTCAAGCTGCCAGTGTAGACAGCTGGCAAGTTTTTCCGCAAAATCAGATGATTTTGCAGAAAAACTTGCCAGTCTAGACACAGCCTTTATGTACAGGCTTATTTGTGTACCTCAGACAAAATTCAGTTTAGAATGGTAATTTCTCAGTAAGTTGAAGACTTCAGCTCACAGTAACATTTGTATACCAGGTTTGCCAACTTCTCATTTTTGTATGAAACATAAATGGAAACAGAATTTGTTTAAAATCTTCAATATGCTATTTTCTTTGGTTCTTAAATGAACAGCTGGCTATTAAGGGAAATGATAGGAGCAAAGCAGAATGTTTGCCTCTAATTTATGTTCTGCTCTCTAGTTAATGCTTCAACTTATTAAATATACCAGGGCTGGAGAACCTAAGACCAGGGGGCAAGATGAAGCCCCTGGCTTGTCTAGATCCTGTCCCTGAAGCTCAGGGCTCCCCTCAGCATTAGGGAGCCATACTGGGGAGGATTTTTTGTTTGTTTTTTTTTCCTCACTGTGCAGCCCCTGACTGATTTCTGTCCATCAGTGGTCCCCAACCAAAAAAAGGTTCTCTGCCCCTGAAATATACAAAGCCCTCTCTCTCCGTCCAAATTAGTTTGCAGGGAATTATTACTGTACTGGCAAGTTAATTATCCCATACTGTCTCTATCTTTGTAAGAAAAACACAGTAAAGGGTGAGATTTTAAAGGTAATTCACACAGTACCTTTCTGTTCTTTATGCACATGATGGTTTGTCTTATTTAAATCACGCATCTAAACAGCAGTAATTTTGTTGGAGGTCTTAAAGGACAATGGGAACAGTGTTTGATCCAAACAAAGCATTTGGAGGAATTGGATGCAAGTGCAGTAAGCAAAACAGCTCAACTGAGAAGTAAGAAATGATTTAGTCATGGGATTACAAGAAGAAAATTGAACTGCTTGGTTTTCCAATCTTTCAGGTAAACCAAAAAGACTAAAAAAAACCCAAACCTCCAGCCCATCCCCAAATATAAACATACATAACTTAATATTCTGTCCCCCCCGGCACTCTCATGCAAGTCACTTTAAGGAACTTCCCTCAAACAAAGTCACTTTAGTCTGTGTCTGGTTCCAGTATTTCCAATGTTAAAATGCCCATTTCTTAATTACCATCTTAGCCTCAAAGATCCAATTTCATTAGGTAAGAAAAACACCTTTGATGTAGAAATATTATTTGAAGGTGACAAGTCTTGCTTCCTGTTTTTTACTACCTCCATTTTAAAGCACATTGTCTTAATGGTGTCATTTCCTCCTTTAGAGAATCCAGTAAATCTAAAACCAAAACAAACATTGCTAAGACAATGAAATTTTAATTTCAACCTATGAGGAGTTAATCAGGTAGTGTTAATCTGATCGAAAAATTTTAGTTGTAGGAGTTAATTAATTATGTTCCCTGATGTACCATTTTAGAGAAAAAACAGTAGCCTAGTTAGATCACATTCATTTTTAAAACATGAGTACATAACTAAATTAAACCTGTCTGGAAATACAAAAGAGTTGTTCCTAACTATCAAATATAGCAACATTTGTTTAACATTCCAGTCTATGACATAATTATTAGGATGTCTTCTGTTCAGGAACCATTACAAACACACACCACTGAAAAGAACAGATATTTCATATTTGAAAGGCTGGGTATTTCTTCTTGACTGTATCTGAACCCAGTGTTTGGCTGCTATCATATCCTAAAGGAAAACAAAGTTATTTAAAAAACAGCTCTTCACAGATTCTTCTTGTGTCTTCTGGTGATGTGACACTGTGGCCTACTGTTCGGGAGTCTGTGTAGATTTCATAATCATTTCCACCCTGTGGACAAGAGGGACAAAGTAAGCAAGCTACCTTCATTGTATACACAATATAAGCGAGCATGCACGTGTAGACATTAAGGAAATTGTGTGTGCTGTGAAAAGGGTGGATGTGAATGGTTTCCAAACTCAAAAAGAGCAACAATCCATTAAAAAGGTTGCTGGAGTGTCAGATGGTGCAGCACATATCACAGGCTTAACCAGCATGTGAATTAATTACTGCTGCATTAACCTGACACTTGTAACTCACCTAACCATGTATAAAATAGCAAAATACTAAGCCACTGGACCAGTGTGCTCAGACCTGGTTTGCATAGCAATGACTAGAGCAGGATTTCTCAACCTATGGGTTGGGACCCAAATATGGGTTGCCATTACATTTCAAAAGGGTCACCAAGTGTGTTTCCCCAGGTGGCTCTGCCTCCCCCCCGCCTCTCGTTTTTGAATTGCCTTGGGTCACCAAGTCTTCCAGATAGGGACCCATTTTGACAATTCAGGAAAAGGTAGGGAACCACTGGACTAGACAGAGTACTAGACTGACTCCGTACACTTACTTGTCAAGATGCTCAGAGTTTGAGCAAGATGCTTGTCAAGATGCTTTTGTTTTCTTAGAAAAATCTCTCTAGTCTACTATTTAACAAATTCAGTCTTTTTAAAAAATGGTGATAATTAAATATATACTAAAGTCATTTTTAAAAAGCTGGAGCTAAGCAGTACAAACCTTTAGGCCAGGGCTAATGCTCCGGAGTTTTGTCAATATAGCAGCATTGGTCAGATGTCTGCCAACATACCTGCAAAATCTCTCCCATAGCACAGCTGAACAGTTCAGTACCAGTACATTTGGAAGGGAGTTTGTTTCATGCACAGAGTCCTTGAGATGTTGAAACTGCACAGCATACACTGTTATGAGCCACTGAATTAGGCTGGTACAATGGTTTTCAGAATTTGTGTACTGGTGACCCCTTTCACTCCTGAGTGTGTCATTCTCCCCTCCTTAGAATTTAGGTTATAAGGCAGGAGCCCAGGCCGAACTCACTTTGTGTGTAACATGCCAGAGGCCCTTTCAGCTAGCAAATTTTTATTATTTTAAACTGAATAGGTTAGAGCTGATTTCTCATACAGCTTGTGAACAAGGGATTTCAAAATCTGGCCAGAGCAGTTGCACAATCTGGCCCAGGAGTACTGCAGAGAAACGGGGACGTTCCTGTCCCCCAAGCCTCCCCACTTTGACACCACCCTGCCCTCTTCCCACATGGCACCCCATCTCCTGAAAGATGCAGTCTTGGGGATTACAAGCTGGACAGGGGGCTGGCACAGGATGACAGCAGCGTAGCCACTCCCCCACATTTCCCTTTAATAAGTACTGTTATGAGCTGGAGGAAACTTTATTACATAACTGTAAACATAAGTCCCCACCTAAGACAAAAGGTGGGAGAACCTGCTCCACAGCACAGTTTTTGTTGGAGGGGAGGGTGGGAGAGATGACACCAAATGAGGACAGAGAGAAGGGCAAGAAAGCCAAGCAGCAGACTGTGGCCCCGGAATAAACCAGAGCATGTGTTTTGGATCTGCTGTTGGCCAGAACTGCTTGGGAGCTGTAAATTAAGAAACTGTTCCTCTTGTTCTTCTGCATTTAGAAAGAGGATTTTTTACAGCATTGCAAATAAACAAGATGGCACCACACAAGATACCATCCATTTCTGCTTGCAGCCAGAACATCCTTAGGGCTCTGGACTTTGATCCCATAGTGAAGAATGAGGAGGTTCAATCAAGTTATTCCCAGTTTATAGACACATGAAATCACAATCAGAGTGAGATGTTTGAAGAGACGATGACACCTTCTAGATGCACTGTATTCCTTTGAGAAGAGGGGAAACTGCTCACACTCTATAGAGGCAAATTGCTTGCTATGCTGTGCCTGCCTAATACTACATAAGGCATATTAAGAGAGGGAAATGTGTTTGACAAAAGGTTAGAGCCACAGTGTGGATTCTGTCTCCAATGTGACCGATTAAGAAGTCCTGCTTCTGGAGCTTTCTAAATGTATATGCAGAAATAGTGAAGTACTCACGGGCATGGTCTTGTCTCCAAAGAAATAGATAGTCTTGTATCCATCCTTGCCAGCAATTCCTAAGCAGTATCTCTTATCCCAGCCATGTGGAAATACATCAAAGCTTATCTGTCCCCCTAAATGGAAGGTAAACAAGAAGCAAATGTTATGGGGAAGGAAGGAAGGAAAAAAAAGGGGGGGGGGAGAATTACTTTTGTGAAGGAAGGATGCCCCAGAACTCCTCTGAAGCCAAGCCTCAGACAAAACTACAGTAAAATGAAGATAAGGCTGAGAACAGATTAATACTTCAGTGTAACATGCACTTCAGGAACGTACAATTATTAACAAACAAAATGTTCTATACTCAGGACATTCAGATTTTCATTTAAATTTCAAAGAAATTCAAACTTGTTTAGTGCACCCAAACAAACTAAACCCTGTAGCAACAGGGTGTAAGACCTCAGGATTTGCTTAAGCATGACAGTGTTCGTAGTCCCACATTACACTGATTTTTAAAAAGGGTTAGATTTCTTCCTGATCATAGTATCATGCAGTTCCACTAGGACCAATTTCAATTCTGATCTCTCAAAAAAATTAAAAATAAATGTTTCAAGTGGCTATGTTTGAGTGATAGCAGATCGTGCCACACCCTTGCTCTAGAGGCAGAAGGGGTAGCAGGTAGGGATGTTAAAATGTAAATCATGTAACCTCTGAACATTTCAGCAGTTACACATGGGAAAGGGAGGCAGCTACCCAGAGCTAGTGTGTGTGAGGTCCAGCTTCCTGCATGTCCCGCCAGCCACCCCATGCTGCTGCCTTTGTATCAGAAGCAGCAGCACAAGGGGGCTGGCAGGAGTCAGTACACGTGAGGAGATGACCTAAAAGTCCACTCACCTGCACATCAGCCCCGGGAAGGGTTGGAGACAAACTCTGAATGTATACTGGCTCCTGACCATCTCCAGAAATGTAATACATTTGGACAGGAAATATTTTTGTCTAAAACTTTAAACTAGTTCTAATCACTAAAGCACCATTAGCATTTATAACGCCATACTGTCCTTTACAAGAAGGTTCCTTTACACCATTCTGGCAATGTGAAGGCCCCTTACAATTGTTACACCATTTCTGTACTCCCGGGGGAACTCCTTACGAACAATGGAAACATTCACGGCTACATTCAGCTCTGCCTGAGGGAACAGAGCCTGCTCTAGGCCTGTCTCTTCAGAAGCACTCCAAGCCCTGTGCTTCCATGCAGAGCCTACCACAATAAGAAGACAGAGTGTCTCTTTCTAACAAGCACAATTGTCCAGCTCCTCCCTTCCCTGCTGATGTATGTCTCCATCAGCTGCTCTGTGTGTCCAAAGTGACTTGCGTGCACTGCCAGTGAAGAAGCACACGACTGCTCTTGTGGCTTCCCTGTCAGATGTTTTTTTGTGTGGAAGCAAAGAAATCTGCAGGAACTATGAAGTCTGTGCAAATGCAGTGCTGCAGAATGCAACCAGCAGAAAATGAATGTAAATTAAGTTTTTGTGTATTAATAATAACCCTCAGATCATCACCCTAGGCTCTGAACAAATTCATTTTGAATGAAGCCCACAACAGAATCCTCATCACCTCTCCAAAAACAATGACTATTTTCATGGATATCACACACCGGGGATCGTAAGACCCTCAATATGGCTGTTTTTGCTTGAGAACTTCTAGATATACAATGAAACTCGTTCACTGAGTTAATCCCTGAGCACTGGAAGGAAGCTACATTACTCAGTGCAGACCAGTGCATACAAGCCAACTCCTGGGAAAAGATGTTCTCAAATACAAGAAAGTTTTTCAGGTAAGAATTTCAATAATTGAGAAACAAATCCATTTGAATAGCCTGTTTGGAAAGCCCAAGATCAGCTCTTACTTCTTTTCTCGATGTTCCAATGGAATAGACAGCATTGTGGGTGAGTTCTTGGTTTTTTGAGTAGGACTGTGTTTACATAGCAAGACTTCATACATTTTGAAATATACAAAAATGAAGAAATCTGTCTTTTTAAGATCATGATCTTATAAAATAAAGATCTTTGCTCTATTATGGTTAACTTAGAGTTGATGCTTTTATTCTAAACCTATATTTTTCAGGAGATTTTTAATAATATCAAGCTTAAACATGGATTGAAATTTGACACACTGTCTCAAAGGGGAGAATTTTCATGATATTTTGAAAATGTTCTGCTCTAAGTGGACATCATCAAGGACTGATCATGGCAGCCCTGTCATATTCATGTGGCCCCAGATGTTTACCAGTGCCAGAGACAGAGACAGACAACAATTTGTTCTTTCTACTGTGAAAGAGGGGAAAAAAACCCGGAGAATTTGCCTAGACTTTTTCAGTAGGAAAAAACAGAAAAGACAAGTCTAGAAAGAGACATCCCTACTGTATAGAATTATTGTGCATCTTGAGTCTCCTGTTGAATTTCCTTTCTGACTCACTCCTCCCCCCCCTCTCTCCCCACAATACAATCACTTAAATTAAAAGCCAAGGCTAGTAATGGAAGCAGTATTAATGCAGTAGATATTTCTAATGTACGTGGTGGGCTGAAGAAACATCTCTAATTAGTAAGAAATGTATAAGACATTTACAAGTCAAGCAAACTCATGTGTATGAGTGACATCAGAAAATAATGAACTAATGAAAAGAGATGCAGTTTTCCTTTTGTTATGGTGTCTTATACCTCACTGTAGCTAATGAAAGCCTTAAAGAGTCTTCTTGTACAAAATGGCAGTAGCCACCCCCACCCTGACAACTGAGTCATGCAACATGAAGAATTTGGCAAGAGGGTATGATTTTTTAAAATGAAATCCTATTTTTTAAAAAAATGTGATACCTATAGAAAATGTGAGGCCTTTTCCTGCAAATTCTCTTTGTAAATCAGCTACAAATTTCTCTCTTATATGTTCCCTCTGTTAAAAACAAAAACAAAGATGCATCAGTTAAGTGATATGTTTAATAATCAGTAGCAGAAAACGCAATATTAACCAGGGAACTGTGGTTCTAGCTAGCTTCTTCCAAAGTCCATGTATGCACTACTGAGCTAAGTTCTGTGCAGCATATACCTGTGTAGTCTGAAGTCTGAGACACTATAGGAAAAAAAAATCAAGATTTTAAAATTCCCAGTCTTATACTATAGGCACAAAAATCTCTCTGCTTTGGTACATGTAACTACATTTTAAAGAAGGCTAATGCTGAGTAGTTTAAGCCTCAAGTATATGTTTAATTTAAAAAGTATTCGAAAAGGTAATGAGAGAGCACTTCCATTCATTTTCAAAGACCACAAAAGCAAATACAATGATTGAAACTATAAAGAACTCAAAATATACCGACAGATGAGGGCTTTGGAGAGATTGATACAGGATGGGAAAGAAAGGCGATTTGTAAATGCCTCACAATAGCATTGTGCTAGAGCATCAGACAGAGAAAGTAAAAAAGCAGATAGCTTATTTTATATTTCCTGCAGTTTGAACAATGAAACTCAACCAACAGCAGGGAGAAAGGTGTTAAGTGCTGGAAGGGGAGTTTTTGAAAATAGAATTTGATCTTGGCAGTGTCCCCTAGAACAGTGAGAAGTAAGAGATGTAAACCATTTAAAAAACTGACTCACTTTATCAAGTTCATAGAACTCAATTCGCTCTTCCTGGCTGCAGCTTCTCCCAATAGGGGACACATTCAGCATCCCATTTCGGAATTCAATAAAAGTACCCCTGAAAACAAGAGTCACCTGTCACTGCTGAAAATGGACACAAGTCCACATATATCCAACAGACACTCAGTTATGATCCCATTGCTGACGCTTGATTAAAAGAAGTTTTGGAGCTCTCAGGAGCAGAGCAAAAAATGGCATTATGTGATGAAAACAGTATAGACATTGCATTTACCCACTGTATTAGTTATAGCTGAGGAAAACACAAGCATGCTTTTCAAACTGCCCAAATAGAAACTGGCTTAGGATGTCAGAATATCCTGCACATTGCTGATAAGTGCTCATGACCTTGTGGATCAGATGCTCAGCCCCTATTCCTTTGTGAATGTAGCCAGAATGGGATTTGATTTCCCTGGCCTGGAGCCCAGCCCAGTTAGCCATCTCTACATTACCCATGCTGTTCTGTGGTATAGAAGACACTCCCAGTGAAAAGGATGCATAGCTAACACACCCTTTTACTCTACCAGTTATTTGCTGGCTAATGGATCAGCCCCTCCTGAGGCTCTGGTGGGTCATATCCAAAAGCCTCCTTAGGACAGTTCTTAGCCAACCCTGATACTGGGGAGCTGCAAGGGTAGCTTTTACACCTTTTACTCCAAGGCTTCGTCTTCACTGCGAGTTCTTCCAGCAGAAAGTATGCTAATGAGGGACTCATTAGTATAAGCCACAATCGTATTAGCATATTTTCTGCTGTTTCTTTTTGCGCAAAAAGGAACCGCAGAAAATATGCTAATGAAATTGCAACTTATGCTAATGAGCCCCTCATTAGCATACTTTCTGCCAGAAGAACTCGCAGTGAAGATGTAGCCAAACTTTATGGACCAAAGGATCAAGCTCAGTGTCTCTAGCCTCTGTATTCCCAAGTACTGTGCAGGGTAATTCATTTCAAATTTTAGAAGACAACCTTGCAACTTTCATTTATAAAAGCAACAATGCCTTTCAATTCCAACTGCTTCAAGAAAATGTTTTACACCAAATGTAATCTGCACTTCATAAGGAATAAAAATAAGAGGTATCCCAATGAGCACCCAATGTTCTGTCCATCTAGATTTTTATATTACAATTTGTTTTATGGAGAATAAACAATTCCCTGTTGAGCAACGTTGCATAATCTTTACCCATGATCCTTCACTTGCTCCAATAGTGGAGCTTGTCTTTTTCTGTATGGGATTGCTGAACAATAGCATACATCTCTCTCAATTATACAGTATGTACTCAAACACAATCCATTCATTTGTAACATGACTGGACAGTGTCTTCCCTACTGAAGATCAATACCCCAAAGCAGGAATACTCTCTTCCCTAAGTTGTGCATGCACATATACCTACCTTTTCTTTGGCAGTTTAATCTTCGCAATGTAACTCAGACAGTAGTTGATTAGATCTTGGAGCAAGTCCTCACCCAGATGACTCTGAATGCTCTAAACATACAAAAAGACATATCAACTATAGATCCAGAATTCTGAAAGTAACTTATTGACAATACAGGTTTTAGATTCTCGTGTATAGCAGATGCCAGAAAACCAGGTCTTAAGTACGTGGTTCTCAGTGTATGTGCAGTACTGGTACTGTAGGCTCCCGTTCTCTACCTTAATTATAAAATGCTATGCTGCACAACTGACCACTTCTCACGAATGTTCCCTCTAATCCATGTGTGGAATAATTTTTGTTTTTTGTACTACCAATAGAAACACATGTTACCGACTGTGGGCACTTTGAGCGATCTGCACTCAGCTTACACGAACACTATCTCTCAGTATAACATGCTCCTCCATGCCCCTACTTCACACTGTGGGTTAGAAAATGCATGCTGAAATGGAAAGGAGTAGATAGGGGCTAGTACAGCTTAATTAAGTGCGGGAAACAGTTGCCAAATAAGTTGGGAACCGGTACCTTAAGATATGGGTCAGGTCCTGAGCTATTTTATTTTCCATTCTCCAATAGCTAAATTGAGGCACTGAAGATTATCACAATATTAGATTTAATCACCAGTATTTTCTCAGCCTCTTAAATTATTTCTAGCAGCTTATAAAAATACTCTACTCAATCAAGGCCACCCTATGTGCTAGCTCCTAAGCAGCAGTGGGGGTACATTCCACTGGTGGTCAAGGAAAGGAGATGGCTTTAAGCCACCCTTTCCACTTCCCAAGTCTCAGGCCTGTGAAGGACCAGCTATAATTTAGAGTAGCCTCAAAGGTGTTCTAAATGAGGCCCAATTGTTATAGAAATTCCATGAGTGGGCATCACTAGAGGTCTCCAGCCATGACCCCCATGCCAGAGAGTAGGAAAGATGTCACTCAGGAATTTTACGTGCTGGAAAAATTCTCTAGTCAAATCTACCAGGTTTTGAGCAGGGCAAACCAGGAGGTCTGAGGTAAGGATCTGGCTCTACATCTTGCGTCAATCTATAGATTTAAGAGAGGAGATGGACTGTCAATTGTACAAATAAAATTCTATATATAAAGCAATAATTTCAGACTATTAAATGATCACTGCAGCTGCAAAACAAGACAGGCAATTCTCCATGCAGAATTATGAGAATAAAAATCTTGTTTGAAAGATTTTAGCCTTACAATAATCAATTAGTTTATAAGATCTATTAAACATACCTGCTTGCACAACAACACCCCATCTTTGTATGAGACTAGACCATTTTCTGGAAAGATGTAGTCAAACTTTTCAACAACTAAAAACACAAACAAAAAATGCTGCAGTTTATATCTTGTCTTTCCTTCATTGTATGCAAACCTTTTCAGTACTAAATACATCAAAATATAATAATTTTAGAATAATAATAATTTTAGAATATTAAGCAGAAGCTATACACTTGTAATGTCTGATGAAAAACTTAAAGGACCTAATTCTGCAATTTCTATTTGTTCCTCCTTCTGAAGCCACTGGGATCTTACACCATGAGAATAGCAAGTAGTTAAGTTACATACATTTAGCATGAAGGATCTGACTCTATCCTTAGCACATTTAGTTGTGCTTTACTATTGTAAACCAGGGGTGGGCAAACTCAGGTGGAGGGGCGAGGGAAGTGCTGAAGTCAGGCTGTCTCCCTGCCCCTGTACCTTGTCTCTGCAGAGCAGGGGTAGAATAACACACTCAATCAGCAGAGCTGCTCCATTCTAAAGCGTGATTCAGAGGAGAGCAGAAGGGGGAAGAGAGACAAGACAGATTTCCTTAAAGAGACAGAGCGTGGCTGCTCAGAAATTTAGCGAGCACACATGCTCTGTGTCACTGTCACACACACCCAGTCTGTGCCACAATCTGTCACACAGTCTCTCTCACACAAAATGTCTCTTTCTGTAGCCCCACCTCAACCCCTTCCACCCAAGACTCCACCGCTTCCAGGGGCCCCTGGAACCAGCCTGTCACCACATACCAAAATTTATGAAGTGCCCCTCCTGAAAAAATTATTGCCGACCCCTGTTGTAAATTGCCATGGATCCAGTCACCATTGCAAAACCTTGGAACAACAATCTGGACATAAAAATCAATAAGAGGACAAAGAAAAGTTTACTATTTGAGGGAGATTATTTTAATGCAATTCTACTTGATAAAAATGTGTGTGTGTTTAAACTGAATTACAGGATCAAGTCTCCTTTGAAATATGTAAGTAGAATTAGGAGACAAAAATATGGTTCCAAAATGATAAATCCAAATGGCTTCTTGTGCGCCACGGACTATGTTTCAATAGGAAAATGTACAATAGGGATGTAAGTGACTAGTTGACTACCTGATAAGCATAGGCTTATCAGGTAGTCGAGTCACTACTTGCTCCTCTTCCCTTGCTGCCTCTGCAGCAAGGGAAGGAGGGAAACAGGAGCCAGTGCTGAAGAGAGGCAGAGGCACAGCAGGGGAAACAGCAGAGTCCCTTCCTGCGGGTCCCGACTGCTGTGCCTCTCCCTTTGAAATGTTCAAGGGCTATGGGTGGCTCTTGCACATTTCAAAGGGACAGGTGCAGCACTCGGGACCCCACATGAGCGGGGACTGATTCGGTCCTTGTTCGCACAGGTTCTCCACTGCACCTCTGCCTTTGAAATGCAACAGGTTAGCAAGTGCCCCCCCTTACAGGCTAATCGATGGAAATTATATCCACTACCTGATTAGCTGATTAATCGGAATGTTACATTCCTAATGTACAATACTACTATTTATTGTTCTACAAGTTGTATAATACGTCTACTGAAACTAAAACTCAGCCTTGGGATTCAAGTAAAAAAAAAACCACTATAGGATCAGTTGTGGCATATTCTAAATATTCTGCTTCAAGAAAAGCTGTGAAATCACATCCTTATTTGAACATCTGCAATAATTGTAATACTGCTGGAGATGATTTGGGGGTATCTGGCTCTTGCTAACTAAAAATCAGATGACTTCGGAAGGCCATTTCCAGGCCAAGTAAAACCATGATTATATAAAATGTTTGTCAGTATATATTGGGAATGCATAATTGTGAATTATGAAAGGCAATTAATACTGATCTTTCACATTAAAAACCTTACACAGAGTTAAAAAAGGGAAAGAACCAGATCTCAAAGGCACTATTTAATAAAAATCAGCTCTTGCGTGGATGAGCACATTAGATAAACTATGTAATGAGATACAAACAACTCCATTTTATAAAGATTGTTAAAATATATCTTAACTAACATTTCATGAAATCGGCGTAATATAGTAAAATCAGAGAAACATATTCAGAATAAGGAAGTTTGCATTTAATGAAAAATGACGTGACCAACTCTGGGAGAAAGGGATTGTATTTACCCATCAGAACTTCCTCATAAGGAATTCGTTTCAACTTGGATTGCTACATCTTTTTTTTTCTTACCATCATCTCCCAGCTGCTCTTGAATTTTTTCAAAGTCTGAACCACCTACAACTCCAACTTTCACCTTCTTTCGTAGCTTCTGCAGAAATTCTGCCATTTCTGCTGTGATTTTCTAGATTAAATAAACAGTTTATATTTTAAGGTAGTTAACTACTTTTACCATGAGTACCAGTTGAATTAAAATACAGTGCAGTGGGAGAAAGGTCACTGAGAACTAAACTCTGAAGGGTTTTAAGAAGCGATATAAGAAAAATTTTAAAAATGTCTATGAGAAAATATTCCCGGAAGGCAAAATCCCTTAAATAACAAGGAAGTCACTATAGCCTCCGGCTCGCTAATGGAGTGTTCTCCCTACTGCTAAAAGTAAAAAACCCGCAGTGGCTTGTGAAGAGCCTTCGGGGACAAGCCCCCCCACGGAGCCAGTCCCCTCCCCACCCGGAGCCCAGGGGCATCAGTAAGTCGGCGCAACGCCCGTGCGCGAGGGAGCGGCTCGCGCAGATCACGCAGGTTAACAGGTGGCAACGCTGCTCCTTGAGCCCGAGAACCAGGGAAGTTCCAGGTCCCCCCCAAACGCCAGCAACAGGCTCCGCCCCCAGCTCCCTCAACGGCCAGCGGGCACCCCCTGCACGCGACCGGCCGCAGCTCCCCAGAGCCCCTGCGTGGGGACACAGCCCGGCGGCTTCGCGGGGCTCTCTGCTCTCCGTGCCCGGCGGCCGGGCAGCAACCGCCCG